AAAAATAATAAATTAATTGATAAGAACCTGGAACTGAGTTGAAATCACAAATGTTGCGAAACAAGTTTCTCCAATAACATTCTAACGAGTATAATTTAAGATTAAATACAAGTAACATATTTTTCATTTGAGTCGTTTTCTAGAAACAGAATAGTGCAACATTTCAGAGAGTGCAGTATCTTTATAAAAATAATAGAATTGTGTGCTGTAAACAAAATGTATGGAAGAAAACACAGTTACATTTTTGTAACAACTTTGATTGGTTTAGTCGCTGCTAGTAAATTTCTCGAAGAGAAGCGTATGCAAATATTATTTGCAAATATTTGTATTGCTATTTGAATAATATTTTTTTATTTTACAGCGGATTTTATAACACCTTGCAAATCTGGCAATTCAGATTTCAAACAATGTGTAGTTAAAAATTTCCAAGCATTTTTTGTGGAATTTAAAGATGGTAATAGAAATGAAGATGAATTCAAAATAACACCCCAGATAATAATTATTTCTAAATTTCATTATTATTTCCCAACAGGTGTTCCCGGTCTAAAGTCAGTCGGTCCCGTTGACCCTTTCCACATTAAACGTATCTCATTAACCGAAAATACCAGCAGCATTATATCCATCAATATTGGATTTACGAAGGTGGAATTACGTGGCCTTCGTAACACAATTGTCGACGATGCTGAGTAAGAAGTTTTGAATTTTCTCTTAATTAGCAACGACTTTAATTTGCAATATCTTTCCAGCTTTGATCAAACAAAGTTGGTGACCAAAATGACGTTAACGGTGCCAGAATTAATAATGACATCCGATTATCAAATGAAAGGACGTATTTTAGCCCTGGCATTAGATGGAAGTGGAAAGGCGGAAAATAAATTTAGTAAGTGCCAATACAACATATTCTCTTATTCACGTGATACACGATTTTTTTTTATTATATGCACCCCGATACAATAGCAGTTCTCATAATAATTTTTTGAAATCAAAAAATTTTAAATATGGAACTGAGTATTCGCTTTGATACAAAGTTTGTATATTTTAATATGTTAGCAAACATAGATCAAGAAAAATATGATATTTATTGAATTTCTTCTTCTGGTAACTTCCTCTAAATGACCAAAGTGTGGATGAAACCAATAGATTAACTTGTGTTTTGCACCACCACATGTCCAATAGTAGAACAATCACTGTAATCTGTGAATGACCTGTTGTGTGACCTACAAAGGAAAGAAAGTCTAAAAATTATCTTGAGATTTTGTCTCACTAATATTCTAGAATTCTGCTTTCTTAGTGAATAATATAATTTCCCATAAATTGGGTTCGAAGTCTTGCAAAAGCTGGGCAGAGGCAAATAGAAACTTTCTAGCTTTTCTCTGTCTTTCCCGCACGCTCTTTACCTACCTCTTCCCTCGCACCAAATCTTGTGTAAATATGCCCGCATGATGAATATGCCCTCTGAGAACACCTGCCAATACGCTGATTTATTTTTTCTACTTGCATAGCTCGAGACAGAACATTTGTTCCATAATCCAAGCATAAAAATACCATGCGAGTCGGTCTGGTGCCCAGCTCCTCCAATTTGAAAGACCATGTTTCTATATATTTTCTTCCACATGGTCTTTCCATTCTTCTCCGGATTTCAAAACCAATGTCATTAGTTTTATTTATGGCGGTACCGAGATATATAAAATCGTTGATTAACTCAAATGTGTAGTTCCACAGTTGGGGCGAGTCTACTGAACGTCTTGAGCGTTGATACCATCAGCTTGATCTTCTCGCATTTTCTTAATTCGTTCAAAGTTGGCTGTTGCCACTCGCAATGTTTTGACCTATGTCATCGCCATAGGAGAGTAAAATATGCTGAATGGTGTACAGAGTGTCATTTCTGTTCACCTTTGCATCTCGTATTACCTTTTCCAGCATGATGATAAAAAGGTCACACGACAAACTGTCACCTTGTCTGAATCCTCGTTCGGTATTGAAGGGCTCCAATAGGTCCTTTCCGACATTAACTGATGACCTTGTACCAGTTAAAGTTATCCAGCATTAATATTGCAGGCATAGCTTTAAACACGCTTGGGCTGCCGAATGCGCCTTGTAGTCGCCGAATAGTTGGAACGTGTTGTATTGTTCGTGAGTCTTATTCTATTTGCAAAATGCTGCTTCCAGATTCTCAACATGCTATCTGTATGTGTCACTAGGTTTCCTTCTTCATCTCTACACCAGGATATGCCTGTACCAAAGCCTTTCGTTTGGTGTTTTACCCGTTGGGACTTTTCGGACATTATACAGACTCAATTTGATGTCTCGTTGTTTGATCGAGAGAAAGCCAGGTGGCCTTGTTTATATCGAGATTCTTGGATCTAATGTTGCTAATTACCATGATTTTTCTGTCGAGAAGTCAATCAATCTTATGTCGCTCTCGTTTCTTCATAGAGACTGAATTTTCCGATAGTGGAGCCAAAAATATTTTCCCTTCCGAGTTTTATATTAAAATATCCTAGCAGAATTTCAATGTCATGGCCAGGGCAGCGATCACATGCCGTTTCTAGCATTCGCTCATCTATTGGAGTGAATCTAGAGACGAGGTCTTTTATTCTCCTGTTAACCATAAATCGGCAGCCAAATTCATGTCTCGTTTCATGGCAGCTATAAAACATTCCGTAATAATCTTATTTACATACGCCTGTCCCTTTCCATCGCATTTTCTGTTAACAATAATATCGGCTTCGTACTTCTTGAGAACATCGTTGCCTTTTCATAGTAAGTATGACTTTCCGAGTGTGGGCTACTAACCCGACGCCTCAACCCATTTTGTACAGTTCTTATGGTTGAAATCACCGCACATATCAGCTCATAATTTCAACGTGTGACACCGCGGGAGGTCAGTATGAAATGAAAGAGGGAACAAGATAAGCCTGGACTTTACCATGTTAAAGCCAATCAAAGACGTTGCTTGGTATGTTTCATCCCTTCTGCCAACCTAGCACTAAGATTTACTTTGTCTTATCTTTATTTGAATCTCCTCATAGCACTTTTGGGGCTTTTGACACGGTACCCATATTATTCGTACAGGACCATGTCGTGAATAATTATTTAAAGTTTTTGTAAAATGATTACTATCTGTCCAGATATTTGTTGTATTTTGTCTTGCGATTGAACTTAACCAGATCAGACGTGTTATGATTTCAGTCCCGGCTATTCAATAATAACATCCAGTCCCCTGCTAGTCGGTAGCCATTTGTGTAACAACAGTTACCAGAGGTCATTTGTGCTACTATTCCGTTACAAGTCTCTGTTTGCTATCAGAGATTCCCATGATTTGACAACTCTTTTTTCAGGTATTCGGCATGACTCAAAATTACTGACTATATTTGTATATTGTGTCTAATATCGATTCACTCATTCATTGCGTTAAGGGGACCCCCCCCCATTCTCGGGGTCAAAATTTTTTTTGATTTAATTCGATTCTACACTAATTCAAGAATGTCTCTACAAAATTTCAAGTGAAAATCTCAAGAACTCTTGAAGATATAGCCGATTTATTGTGTCAGCATCAAGTGACGGCTAAAGGGCTTCTCAAACTTTAAACGCGTTTTTCTCTTTTGCGAATGGCGGGCACGATAACTCAAAAACTAATAATCCAATCGGTTTCAAATTTTGACACGTTTCTCTGGGAGTGTGTAGCTCTCGTATGAACTAGGATAAAGCCAATCGGTGAAGATCTTCCTTATTTTTTAACTTGGTTTTTTGTAAAAAATCGGCTATTTTCCAAAAATATTTTTTCAAAGGTCCGCCATTTTGTTAATTGTTGTGCGAAGTAAATAATCCTAGTTCATACGAGAGCCAGACATGTCCTCTTTCTAGCACCGTTGGAATTTTCGGATTCCGATATTCCAGTGAGGAGTTATCATGCCCGCCATCGAAAATATGGACTTTACTTTGAACACAAAAAACAACAACAAAACAACAACAACAAATTTTGGTAAATTATTTTTCTTCCTTTTTAAATCTTCAAATATATATGTGCCAAGTTACAAACCTTAACAACCATTGGTATTCATTTACCAGCCCATTTAAAATCTTAAAAATAAAGAATCGAGAATGGGGGGGGTTCCCTTAAGTCTAAAAGGTCTAAAACGAACATGGGTATAAAGACTACCCTGGCTGTCAGCTACACTTTTCAAAGTTACATCTCTAGAGTACTACTTTCATTTAACCAAGGTGGCGTAAGGTATAATACTTATTGGTTTTTAATTCATGGAAACTGCGGATTTTTATCAATTTTTTACAATTTAAATTAAAGTTCTTCATTATTTTTCTTTTCAGAAAATCTTAAATTTAATCTAATTTGCAAACTGAAACTGCGCGAAGAAAATGGTTTCAAATTCACCGATTTGGATAAATTACGGGTTGAGGTCGCCGATGTTGGCCTCTATCAAAGTCATTGGGAAAATCTCTTCAATGGACAAAAAGATCTAGAAGATTCGGCGAATGCCGTTTTCAATGATAACTGGAAGGAATTGTTTACCGCTTTTCGGCCATCCTTCACTGCGACCGTGCAGAAGGTTTTGGAGGATCGTTTTAGAAAAATATTTGCCTATATTCCGGCGAGTTATTACTTTGGTGATTTGTGAGCTGCAATGCATTTTCTTGACAAGCAAATCTGCTTATATTTTCTTTATTTTATTTTGTTAAAATAAAGTAATTACATTTAATAATCAATTCAAATGTGACTGTAAATGTTAAATAAAAAATTAATATCTTTATTAAATAATTCATCGTCAATAAAAATGTTGTTTAGCAGCTGAAGGGCGTATCGATTGACCTTGAAAAGAAGTGTTTGTTTGCTCGCCAAGTTCGCTAAACTGTTCAATGATCGTCGTAGCAACAGCAACCAACAGCAGCAGAAAGGTCGCCAGCAATAGAAATAAAACACTGGTTTTAGAAAGAACAAGCGTGACTTCCACTGCAGCACCAGTAAAAAACCCATCATTACAATGACCGTGAAAATTGCTGCTTCAGCTTGGTATCATGCACTACGAACGAGTAAGTAGGTAGCTGAATGCAACAACTCAACTATCAACTTAACTAGTTTTCTTTAGTCCGCAAACAACACCGAATGCAACGCATGTTTGGCATAAAAATTATTCATAGATTATTTTTCAATTCAATGACATAAAAACTGAAATTGTAATTTATTAAGTCGATTTAGTCTAATGCTGATCATATATATTACTCCATTATGTGGCAGCAAGGCTTGATGCAACCTTGTTAACACTAGAACGCCGAAGGCGGTCATTTTGACCGCTTTCCAATTTCAAGTACAAAAGCAACTGTGCATTTAATGACACTTTTTTTTAAATTTTGGTGAATTTTTTATAATAAACGTAATTCTATGAGGTACAAAAAGTCACCACATTTAAAAAAAAGTGTCATTAAATGCACAGTTGCTTTTGTACTTGAAATTGGAAAGCGGTCAAAATGACCGCCTTCGGCGTTCTAGTGTTAAATACATGAAATATATTATTTGATTTTTGATATGTATAGAAAGACGTAAAGTCAGATAGGAAGGACGAAATGAAACACTACGTCAGATAAAAGAAACAAATTTAATCGTACTGCAAAATAGAATGCCATCTAAATATAATAATTTAGTGACTAACTCAGCCCAGACGAAAGGTAGAATCTTCAAGTGTTGCATGTGGGCTAGTATTGGTAAGAAGGCATGTGATAATATTGTGATACATAATGATTGTTCGAACAATAGCATGACACGAAAATCACTAAAATATTAGTTTGGGGAAAAATAAATCCATTATTTTTATATGAATTATAGGGCTCTATTTAATTATGCACCGTTTTGTTGTCATTTTAAAGGTAACTTCATATTGTCTTTCTCATAGAAGTCCTGCTCTCTGCAAAAAAACTCTAGCAGTCGATTTTCACAATCCTTCCTGCAATAAAAGAAAAATATGATAATCGCTTGGTGTTGTATGGAGGATGCATTAAAACTTCCCAACCAAGCTCCCGAAATTTCTGTCGAATCACTGTAGACGTGTGTGGCCTAGCGTTGTCCTGGTGGAACACGACACCTCTCCTGTTGGTCAATTCTGGCCAACAGTCAATTGCTATATTCAAATGGTCCACTTGTTGGCAGTAGAGATCAGAATTTAGCGTTTGCCCATATGGAACCAACTCATAATAAATTATCCCCTTCCAGTCCCACCAAATGCATAGCAGAACCTTCCTGGCCGTTAGTCCTGGTTTAGCCACCCTTTGAGGTGCTCCGTCGCTATTTGACCACGATCATTTTCGCACAGGGTTATCAAATGTGATCCATTTCTCATCTCCAGTCACCATCCGTTTAAAAAATTGATCTATCTCATTCCGTTTGGCCAAGGCTTCGCAGATAGAAATTCGATCCATCCTATTTTTTTTCTGTTAATTAGTGTGGCATCCAAACATCGAGCTTCTTTTTGAATCCAGCTTTGTGTAAATGGTTTAAAACAGTTTTATGGTCGATATCGAATAGATAGATAAACTGTAGTTAACAAGACATAGCTACCAACGACAGAGAAGGGCAAGCGACACTGCCGTAAGGGATTTATTCACCACTTCTTTGGGTTACCAACTTTAATAGTCTCTACCATACATATGCAAACGATGCAAAGTGGGGAAAAATGCAGATCTAGCTGGCAGAAAATAAAATAGATGTTTTACTGTATAAAAAATAGATGTTTTACTGTATGTTTATCGATATTTTGGATAAGAATAGATTTAGAGGGACAATTTTAATTATTTTATGAACGAATTTGGCAATTTTTTTTATTAACCCACTAAGCGCCGATTTTTTTAGAAAAAACTTAAATTTTTATGTGAAAATTACTATTTTTTAATAAGAAACATTTTTCGTTATAACTAATAGTACTCCTTAAATGGGAGCTTCTTTTAAAAATTCCGAAACATTTGGAGGGTAAAAAGTGGGTTAAGGGCAATCACAAATGTTGTTATATGTATCTTTATTATTGTTAATATTATATATCTAAAACATTATATATATTTTATAAAATTTAGGCATTGTTTATTAAATACTAATCACATTCAGAATCCGATTTTTGATCTGAATTAGTTGGTAGCATTGGATCCTCTAGGACTTCTTCAGATAGTGGCTCACTATATCGATGGTTAAGAGATGTACTACGAGACAACCTTGATATATTTGGATCAGAAGAAAATAGCAACTTATTGAAAAGATCCCTCATTGTTTCCCCACGACTCAAGAAGAATATATATTTTTCCCTGTAGTTCCGAAAGTCCTTATTTCTGGATTCGATGGCTTCTTCAGACAACATTCCTATGGGCAAAGCTGCACATTTAATTATATCAGCTCCATGCACTAATATTTTGTGTATGCTTGAAGGCATATAGAACAAAGGATATAATTCCACGAAAAGAATAAATGTTTCCTAAATGACTCTGCGTTAATAGCATATCCACAAGCCATGGTTGAAAGGATGATACTAAAATGTTTCATTAATTTTTCATCAACACCAGTTATCGACGATGCCAAGCCAGGTTGGCTAAAAAACGCCTAGCAGTATTGCCATCGTTTGTTGTTCCGGATACTGACCTAGATGTGTGAACAATAATGTGCATTTCTTGCATCAAATCATTAATGATACGTGCCTTCTTTTCTTCGAAAAGTGGCCGATCGGAGCTATTAATTTTCCACTTTTTCAAAACCAGTCGGAACTTCTGGAACCTTAGAACGGACATTTTGAACTTGTTTTTTTCTTATCTGCTATGCTGTGATATTCACAGAATGCACACGACCCTCGCAATTTTATAGCAAAAATATACAATTTTTAACATTGGAAAAAGTATCTATTTTAAATGTATCGTTATTCCGTTCTAACTTATTAATTAAGATTATTGTATACGCACTTAAGTACACTCAACACTCTACTTTAAAACTGCATTAATGTTTTAAAGTTTCCTTCAAGTTCATTTTTTTATTTTCTGCGCTCGGTATTTTTTCCCACCGTGCGATGTTATAATATTTCTAAGGTGTTAATGTAAATCGGGGCAAGTCGAAAATATGTATTTTCATAACAAAAATAAAAATACGACAGTATGAGAGAAAACTTAGATAGATAGACCACATTGACAAGACCGGCAGATGCTGGTCTTATTGCCGTAGGGTTTATAGGCTTAGTTCAACATACGCGTTGGTAGTCTGGTGGACTGCAATGGACAAAAAAATGTTATGTTAATGCTTTACAGAAAGTCCAGAGAACATGTTGCCTAGGTATATGTGGCACAATGCAAATAAGGCTTTGGTGACTATATTGTATATCATTCAATTGATATACGGAATGCCTGAATCATGAGTATTCACATCATTTGAAACTTTGACCCCAGACAGAGACTAATGGGCTTACGAAACATCAGACCTCTGACTGTTTCTACGCAGATGGCACTAGGCTACCAGAAAGGACGGGACTGTCTGATTTTTATCGAAGAACCATAGACTAGAATTTCACCTCGCCTGACGGATCACAATACGATTCTACAGTCTGAGGTTCAAGCCATAACGGAGTGTCTAACTTCAAATTCTGGACAAAACACAAAAAATAGTATGACAAATAGTAAACAGCGAAAAGTTGGAACATTTTCAAAAAAGGTAAAGGTAAAAAATGGACATAAGAATCACAAACAACCAAAAGTTTGAATACGAACTAACTTCAACCCGCTTTCTATTTGTGATACTTGTCATGTTATTCAATTGTAAATTTATTCACACCCAGATATTAAATTATTTACTAATATTAATTGCAACTAATATTAGTAAATGTTAATTGCAACTTGCTGCTGTTGCACAAAATCGTGTATTATAAGTAGATAATTACAATGCAAATAAATGGGAATTATAAAAGCGATTAACTTTTACCATCCCACTTTTTAAAAGCCAATCCTAATCCCTGCGATTGAAACCCTGCAGCTGTCAAGAGACACTAATACGACATTAAACAGCTATTTAATTACCATTAATTTATCCGAATCAAATTTAAAATAAATTACGCTTTAATCTACAGATATATCACAAAAGTGATAAGTATTATTAAAATATTGACATGTTGTTTTTAATTCTCAAATAAACTGTCATATTATAATCGACACTATTAATTAGGTTAGTTTATGGTTTCTAAACAAAACCAGTGAGCGGAGCAGTATAGTCGGACGGGGCCGACCATACGATACCCTACACAACTACCACGGAACTCAAATTTTCTGCGGATGTGTATTCCGTGCCTGGGCAATATTTCGTGATATTTGCACTCCTCTTGCCCGATTAGAGGTAAACAGCACATCTTCCTCACACTGACATATTTTCCGAATATTACGAGTATTCAGTACTGCTATTGTCTAGATTCTCTTCACCGTGGGTTGTGTTGTGATGTTCGGCTTTCATATAGGGTCTATAGATCGACTAGAAAATAACACAAAAATCTAAGTTTTCGGTCCACTTCATTCCAAAATTATTATCTGATCATCACCGAAAATTATAGGCGTTGTCCTTGACCATAACTGGAACCTCATGGAACATTTCAAAGCGACCAGCGCTACAGTTCCGCTCTCTAGAGTGATAATGGGTTACTAAATAATATACGAATAGGGAGATACCTGTAAATATTTAGGTGTAACTCCCACATCCGAGCACATACAACAATATAATTGGTTTTAATTTAAAGGTCAACCACTCCTCTTGGATATAATATAAACTTCTCGGGTCCATGTACTTCAGGGGTAAATATATACGCTATAGAATACAAATTTTGTCATTTTTCACACAAAATTCAGGGTCTATTTGACCCGCTAAATATTGACCGATCTTTATGAAAACAGGCATGCTTATTCTCTGGCCCGATCCCCTTCCCCATGCAAAATTTTATGATGTTCGGGCCATTATTGCGGCCTATGGAGCGACCGGAAAAACCGACAAATATTTAGTATTTGGTCCATTTCATCCCCTAAATATTAACCGA